GATTACACATCCATGGTAAAGAGGAGGCAGCTGGAACCTGCAAACTGGAAGTTTTGAAACTGGCGTAAAGCCTTTATACACTTCTAGGGAATCACTCGATCCCTGCTGTCTGTACTTGACATTTGCTTCCTTCTTATTCTTGACCAAAACCTCAACTTCTCCAGTCATCCAGTACTCCCTACACCTACAAGCTTGCTCTTTGCCCAAACAAGAACGCTGTCTCCGAACTCTCGTCATCTCATTTTTGAAGGCTTTCTATTTTCCAGCCGTCCCTTTACCTGCGAACATCTACCCCTAAACAACTTTTAGAAGTTCTTGCCTAATACGATCAAAATTGGCCTTCCTCCAATTTAGAACTTAAACTTTTGGATCTGGTCTATCTTTTTCCATCACTATTTTAAAACTAAGAGAATTATGGTCACTGGACCCAAAATGCTCCTCCACCTGCCCTGCCTTATTTCCCATGAGTAAGTCACATTTTGCACTTTCTCTAGTAGGTACATCCACATACTGAACCAGAAAATTTTCTTGTACACACTTAACAAATTCCTCTCCATCCAAGCCCTTAACACTATGGCAGTCCAAGTCTATGTTGGAAAGTTAAAATCCCCTACCATAACCACCCTATTGTTCTTACAGATAACTGAGATCTCCTTACAAATTTGTTTCTCAATTTCCTGCTGACTATTGTGGGTCTATTGTACAATACCAAATCGGTGAACATCCCTTACTTATTTCTCAGTTCCATCCAAATAACTTCCCTGGACATATTCCCAGGAATATCTTGCCTAAATACAGCTGTAATGTTATTCCTAATCAAAAACACCACTCCTCCTCCTCTCCTGCTCCCTTTTTGACCTTTCCAATAGCATCTACACCCTGGAACATTAAGCTGGAACATTAACATAGCTATCCTGTCCATCCCTGGGACACGTATCTGTAATTGCTATGATATCCCAGTCCCATGTTCCTAACTGTGCCCAGAGTTCATCTGCCTTACCTGTTGGGCCCCTTGCATTTAAATAAATGCAGTTTAATTTATCAGTACTACCTCATTCTCTACTTTGCTCCTGCCTGCCTTGTCTGTTTGACTTACTCCTTTTCCAAACTGTACCAGTTTCAGACTAATCTCTTTCCTCACTACCTCCCTGGGTTCCTCATCCCTCCCCAGACAACCCCCCCCTTACTAGTTTAAATCCTCCTGAGCAGCTCCAGCAAATCTCCCCACACCCCACCCCCCACCCCCCAGTATATTGGTCCCATTCCAATTTAGGTGCATTCCATATTTCTTATACTTCTACCCCAGAAAAGGTCAATGATCAAAAAGTGTGAATCCTTCTCCACTGCACCAGCTCCTCAGCCACGTATTCATCTGCTCTATCCTCCTCTTCCTACCCTCACTAGCTCATGGCACGGGGAGTAGTTCAGACTTTTTAAATTCCTGCCTAACTTCCTATTTTGCCACCTCTGAATCTTGTCCTTTTCTTTTCCAATGTCATTAGTTCCAACTTGTACAACGATCTCCTGCTGGTCCTTCTCCCCTTGAGAGTAGTCTGCACCCTCTTGGAGATATCTCTGATCCTGGCTCCAGGGACACAACACATCATTCTGATATCCTGCTTAAAGTGAGGACTACTGTACCACAAGAAACAGTTAGGAAATTTTCGGTTAAGATTCAAACACCCACAGTCCAATAAAGTAACGCGAAAGATATTTTCGTTGCTTAACACTAATGCAATGTAGTAACAAATCAAGAGGATTCCCATTTCCAGTTCAGATTGGTATTTAAGTAGTTGCTTGTAGACAAGTTTACAACTGATCGTGGGAATGAACAAAATAAAACATGTAGTGTTACATAATATAAGAAAATCACAGTCAACATAAGCCCTGAGAACTTGATTCATTTTGGATCAAAGTACTTTGCTACTATAACTTGACTGATTTTGGTTACTGAAATTCTAATGACACTAGATAGTAGGATACATTGCCAGTCTTAGTACAGTGTAATGGGCTGGATTTTACAAGGTGCTATGGTCCCTACACTTCTATCCGCACTCCAAACAAATCAGTGGTAAGCCTCAGCATGATTCTGACAACATGCTGCATAGCAGCTTAACTCTGGGAGCAGCATTAATCCCTTTAAATTGAGACTTAGCCCTATCTCAGGAGGAAGTCTTGCCTTAGAGAGCTGCCAACCAATTTGAGGATTGGCACCTCTGTAATCCAAGTAATGGGCACTGTAGCCGTGACACCTGCTGAGACTACAGGCCACTGCTAATGAACAGCAGCCTGAACTGAGCGGTAAATCTAGAGTATCACCAGGCCATGCTGGCAGGCAATGTGGATGAGAGGGGTGGGAGCCTGGGTCTGAAATGCAGGACGGAGGATGAGAGGGAGCAATGAAATCTGAGGAGGTCAGTGGAGGAGGGTGCATTGCCTCTGCCAGGCCTAGGGAACCCACAGAAGATGTTCCCTGACTGTCACTTGCCCAAAACCAGCTTGCCAAAGCCAAAACTACTGGGCTTCCTGTATACAGTGTGACCTCCTCCTGCTGTGGATCAAATACCACAATGGTTAAACCTTAACAGTTCGGCCAAGGTCAGGCAGGCTGGAGGTATGCTTCCTTCACCATACGCAAAATTTCAGAAGGTCTGGGGCTAACAGATAGATGATGGAAAGGACACTCGCTGGATTTTACAAACCCCTGGCCACTGCCCTTAAACCACCTAAAGGGGAGTGTACTGTTCAGCCTTTTTTGAAAACATTGTATATTTGACCTTAACGATCAAACTACTGTGTCATTCGTATGTTATGCAGCTAAATCTAATTGTTCCTTAAAATGTCAGTAGTGTTTTAACATCTACTGGAGATATTAAAATGTTTCAACTAAGTTTAAACTGGGTTTGTTGAATTTCTCAAATTCTCAAAAAGGCCCAGAGCAAACATATGCACTGTACGTATATTGAGTCACAAGTTATCACAATGAACTATTGTGAACTGTAAGGATTCAGTGTCATTAAAACCAACATGAGATCCCCCCACCTCTCCAGTCACAATTCTGCTCCAGAAACATATTGTTTAGTTACAAAGCTTGTGAGTGGTCTGTGCTAAGCTCCTGTCTATCGGACATTATTTTCTCCAGTGATAAGGCCACATCAGGAAACTTAACTGAAAAGGGAAGGAAGTGGTATCTGGATCAAATGGGGAAAAAAAATGTAGGTTTCAAGAAGTTCAGCTTGTAAGGAACTGATAGAATTATACATTGCATTGGTTTATTTTATTTGAATACAAGAGCAACAAGTATGCAAAATCATAAAGAGAAACTGGCAGTCTAGATGTGGATTGAGACGTACATCTCGGTGGGGCTAGGGCGCAATTACAATATTAATTCACTACTTTTCAATACATCTAACCAACTTTGCAAACTTTACAGAAACAAAAATGGAAGCATCTGTAGAGAAATAGTAGCTGTCATTTGTGTTTAATACAAATAAATAATAAGCCTTTCTTAGAAAGGCACCAAGATTATTTCCATAAAATAAAAGCTAGATGTTCTTTAAAAAAGTGGAAAATAGCCCAGTGTCTATTGAATATGACAGAAACATACAATTCAGGCTACCAATTCTGCACAAATGGTTTCTCCCTACATGAATTTAATCTCTTGCGCTCCATAGTCTTTAAATGTTCTCAAGCATCAATCCATTTCTCCATAAAATTCATGTTTTTTTTATTCATTCATGGGCTGTGGGCTTTGCTGGCTGACCAGCATTTATTGCCCATTCCTAGTTGCGCTTGAGAAGGTGGTGGTGAGCTGTTTTATTGAACTGCTGCTGTCCATTTGTTTTAAGTAGACCCACAATGCTCAGAGAGGGAATTCCAGGATTTCGACTCAACAACAGTGAAGGAACAGTGATATATTTCCAAATCAAATGGTCAGTGGCCTGGAGGGGAACTTGCAGATTCTGGTGTTCCCATGTAATGATGGTTGTTTGAACAGTAGATGCAGGCATGAATGGCCTCCTTCTGCACTGTAACACTGCTTTGATTTTGTCTTTTTTTTGATCGAGTTTCTCATCTCTCTGCTTAATATCCTCTTTGATTGGTGTCAACTTTTGTTTAACAACATGGATGGAATCTTATCCTTATTTGACATTCTATTCTGCCATGCACAGTTAGTTGTAATATAATGTATGGTACTAAAAAAAATGCTCACGAATCTTGCGTAATTTTGATAGCACAAACATTGCTCTTGAGACTTGAAATCAAAGGTTTGTACCTTGCACTTATCAGGACTGAACTGAAGGAAAAATAACTTTCTGGAGAAAACTACAATTTGAACAGATTGAGATGAGGAAGGCAAAACTGTATTTCTAGGGTAAAACTCATGGGAGCTTGGAATTTAGTTCAGAGCCTGGATCCACAAATTTCCATCACATACAGCATCTCCAAGAAATTAAGATTTGAGGGATATGAATGGTGACTCTGCCCATTACATCAGTATCAGTACTTTAAGGCTGCTTGGTAATGTTTTGGAATAACAACAGAATTCTGTGGTCCAGCAGAACCCAAACATGCTCAGAGATAGCATAGTTTCCACTCTGTACCTAGTAAAGACTTCAGCGCTCCAGAACTTATCCAAGCAGCACAGTGATACTACAGAATTTCTCTCTTCCTGTAGTTACAGAAAATCCAACCACCTTACAGCCACAGTTTGCTGCTGAATCTCCATAAAAGCTTTCTTCCGTCTAAATTCTTCACTATTTTAAACTTGTACTCTCTCAATCCCATTTCATCTACCAGTGGAAACAATCTGTCAGGATTTACTTCTTCATTACTATTCCACACTGCAAATTTAACATGCACTTCAGGACAGACAGGAATATTTATTCTGACAGTGAAACAATCTGTAAATATCATGTGGTCTTTATAAATAAAATGCAGTGGGAGGAAGGGAAATTAGTACATTAATGGCTAAACGTCAAAAAACGAAAACATCTTACCATTGCTTGATCTCTGGATCTTTTGAGCCGTTTGCCACGTTTTCCAAAAATGCAGGCAAGGTCTGTCACACTTCGAGAAGAGAGATCCTTTCCTTTAATCCAATCATTTAAACAATGCACGTATTTATAAAATTTCAATGCCAAGTAGAAATCATATAGAAACATGTCAAAAAGACTGGAATTAATTAGGTCACTTCAGAGTCAGATAATCAATTTATCTGAACATATTTGGTTAAACATAGTGGTAGACTTAAACATCAAGTAGACTCCAATGAACTCATTAAACTGTCAAACTCTTAAAAAAATCTTAATTAAATCACTTATTTGGAAATTCGTACAACAGCATCACATTACTCCAGCATAACATGAAATATAACAGGTTGCACATACTCCCAAAAGGCATTATGATATGCTGGATTACATATACATGACATTTGCTTGATGGCATGGAACTTTTGATCTTGCTAATGAGGTGGGGAGAAGATATGATCAAAAGGGCTGTTACTCTGCATGACACAAGGGGCTGTTCAAAGTACTGGTACAGAAGCATGCATGTTAACCACAAGGGAGTTTTGCAATGTTGTAACAGAAAACAAAGATGTGCTGGATGTAAAAACAAATTGCTCTCATCATCATGAGGTACAAATGCATTCATCTAGTCAGTAAACAATCAGAGGAGGACCAGGAGGACCACTTCCTTCTGAGGAAGGGTCACCGGACCCGAAACGTTAACTCTGTTTTCTCCTCCACAGATGCTGCCAGACCTGCTGAGCTTTTCCAGCAACTTTGTTTTTGTTACTGATTTACAGCATCCGTAGTATTTTTGGTTTTTATTTAAGGAAAGGATTCTGGTTTTAACAGAATAGACTATATATAAAGTTGTAAAACGAAAACACTCATATCTTTTACGATTTTGTTCCCAGATTACATGGAGGCTAAAGAGAAACTAACTAGTAGGATCTTGGCAAAAGGGAGAGAGGCCAAAATTCTTCTTTTACAAATTGGAAATCACTGCTTAGATTCAAAGATCTACTTTAGTGTCTCACAATATGTAAATCTTCTGGACACATCCATGTCAGAAATGAAAAATATTTACTCAAATTTGTGCAGATACCTAATCTCCCAGCATTTTAGCAACCTCTTCAATAATAATGATAACTCTGTAGAAAACGCTGCCAAATGGAAGTAAGCTGCTTCTAAACAGTGCCAGTTTACTACACTTGCTTCATTCATGATCTGTACACTGCAATCGTATTTTTGTGCTTAGCTTTAAATCCAGCGAACAAAATGTCAAAAAAGAGCTGCAAGTGAATCTTCCAGACTGAAATGTCTATTGTGATAACTTATTTTAAAGCTGTGCTTAGGGTGTGGACACTGTCAATGCTGCATTTATTGTCAATCCTTTGTTGTCACCATCACTCTCAATGGGACATTCTCCTTGGAACACTGTCGCCCTTGCCATTACTGGACCACTTCAGAGGGCCTTAGGAGTCAAACTATAGGGGGTCAGGTTCCATTCCCCAACAGACAATACTGGACCAGTTATTCGTCCACTGCAATTTTCATTGTCGGTTCCTCAAACATTCTTGGATGCATCTCATCCAGCCTTGGTGCCTTACAAACATTAAATATGGAAAGCTTATCCAATACAACCTCATTATCCATTTTAAACCTTTCTAGTAACTGGGTTCTTCCTCTGTCTTCATGGTCTGGCAGCATCTGCCTTGTAGGTTAAGAGAGATGCAAGGTATTCTTTTAACACAACAGCCTTGGTCTACTCCTTCCTTCCTACCGGCCTTTTACTATGTATGTAATACTATAAGACTTTGAGATTATCATTCATCATCACTGCATTATAGTACATGTGAATTGATGTTATAAAGCTGTCAAATTCCATTTTACCTCAGGATCACTTAAGTATGACCTGCTAGTGTTGTAAACAAATAGCCTAATGTTAGCCCAGACTCGTACGTGCCTCATGAATGTAAGGCTTGAATATAACAATTAGCTGTAATAAATGGTTGAGCAGTGCTAAGCACTGAATATGGTGGCTCACCTGTTAGCAGTGCTGCTTCAAAACACCAGGGTCCCAGCTGTGATTCCGCCCTTGGGCAATTGTATGGAATTTGCACATTCTACCTGTGTCTGACAGTTTCCTCCCCCAGTCCAAAGATGTGCAGGCTAGGTGGATTGGCCATGGGAAATGCAGGGTTCAGGGATAGCATAGGGGAGTGGATCCAGGTGGGATGCACTTTGGTAGGTCAGTGTGGACTCAATGGGCCAAATGGCCAGCTTCCATGCTGTAATACCACAATATCCACACCAAATTTATGTTATAGGAGATAATATTAGCATTATCACTTATGGAGGAGTATCCTAGAGGCAAACTCACACCAGCATTGACTCCAGCAGAATTAGTAAATAACCAGGACAATTGGCTCATTTGTAAAGTGCCTACATACCTTAATGGGGAAATGTACAATGACCATTCTATGATCTACCAGGTCAAAGCATGTTCCACGTCGTAATCTACTCTTGCAGAGCAGAGGCAAACTATTGGTACAATCTAATTATATTTAGCAATGCGCAGTCAATACCCTAGAGATTCAAATTAATTTTTCCTAGTTTTGATCCATCCACTGTTGAGAAAGATCCCATGGGAAGCTGGAAATATAGCTCTCCATCTGCACAGCAGTGCTATGAATCTACCACTTATTATCTGAGCTGAAAGAGTCGTTTTTTTGATAATTTTTGTTCTCTGTTCTGTCATAAAGATCACAGATGAACATAAAACAGTGATCACAGACCAAGTCATAATAAAAACGAAAACCTAGGTCTCAAACAGGACGAACAGCACAATAATTAATTATTGCTCTTAATTAAACAATAATTCTTAATTAAACCATACATTTATGCCATCCACTCTGCATGGGCTGCTTTAAATTCATCTGCTTCCTTCCTGCTAATTAAGGCATTCTACTATAAGCTTTGAGGGAAAATAATTATTTCAGCAAAATATCTTCAGCAGTAGAGATTGGACTGTTTCACACCTTCTGCAAATTCAAATCTGTTGCAATACCGAAAATAAAACATCTACCTCGCAAACAAACTAGAAAACAAAATTCACAAGCTAAAATATCAAATAACGTACAAATTAGGTCAGGTATAAATTTTACCTGTAATATAATGTGAATATCAAATGGTAACTAAAATGTTTGTTTCAATGAATAGCATTTGAAAATGCAAAGCCTTATCCAAAAGCACTGTTTCAACTTTTAAGCCGTAAGATACTTGCTAAATCACTCGTACAATATTCAAAAGTTCCAGAATGGTAACTTATCAATAATTACTAAATTAAGGGGGTGTGCAATGAGCATCCAAGGTAAACAGTTTACCCGAGTATCCTGTAACTAATAATCATGACCTGCTTCTATAAAAACAAGTGCAAATAACCATAACTTGTCCATAAGTTTCACTGATGTATATTGTGCTACATATACAAAAAGTTACAAATCTTCTGCTTAAATTAGGAAACATCACACCACCCCAAGCAAAGATATTAACATTTACAACTGAAATGTCAGCATTGGACAAATTAAATATTTGTGTTGATTATATTGTACAACATTTTGTTTTTCATGGAGTCCTAGATCGTCTGACGAAGAGTCGTTGTTGAAACGCCAACACTGTTTCTCTCCACAGATGCTGCTGGCCCTGCTGCGTATTAATCAGCATTTTCTATTAGATTTTCAGCATCTGTGCTAGACCTCACCTTTGGTAAATTTCTGGTAGTGAACGCGTTTCTTGGAAGATTTAGATTTCTCTTCAAGGCTAAATGCAGTTTTATCCTCGGCCACACGTGAGCCTGTTGAAAACAAAAGCCCACAATATTTAAAAAGGATTAAGGTTATCTGTAGCAGAGTTAATTGATTCTATGACTGTACTAATTAATTGAGGCAATACTAAAAGGGGAGGCTCAGATTTGTGAGCTTGTAACCAATTACCCAACCTTATTGGTTGGAATGAAATAGTATTAGCAAGTTCAACCATCTCCTTTCTTAGTTCAAAGCAACTACAAAGTTTAAAAATGGTTTTGTAACAGCACACTAACCTCTCAGTCAGTAGTTTTTTTGTACAAGTAAACAATAGAAGTTTACTTTCAATCAATGCTTGGGGAAACTAAACTATGTCATTTCACTTCCACAGCATTTTGATCATCAGTGTAGTTGTGTTATAATAATATTCATACTTGTTTAAAAATAAAACTGTAAACTAAAATAAGAGATACACGTCAACATTCAGGATTAGTAAGATCAAGATTTCCAAGCAAGGCTCCGGAAATACAATTTCAGCGAGCCGTGTCAAAATCAGTAATAACTACACTGGATTTTTTGATGTTGATTATCTGTTTGGTTCTTTATAAAAATCTTACAGGTTGTATTTAACCCTTTCTTTGCAAAAATATTCTCTTTCTTGCTGTACCCATTCTTTTGTTGTCAGTTATAAATTAACGTTCTAAATTTAATTCAAATAATTTTTTAAATGAAATAAACAGAGGTGCCTTTCAATGTCAAATGGAAGATACATCAGATTTGTTGCCATTTCTAAGTCTTTCGTAGGTTACAAGCACAAATGTAATTCACTTATTTGATATTCATGCTTTTTAAAAGAAACTATAATTAACCCAAATAATAAATACTTGTTCAGAAGATCATAGCAGGAAAGCTGATTTAGTAAAAATAAAACCTGGTTAAATTTAGTGTCTGGATTATTTCCAAACACAAAATTAGATAACAAGGGATATACCTGAACACACTGGATATGTAAATTGAAAAGTAATTCCAAGTTAGTCAATGAATAACTTTGTTAATAGTAACAAGTATATTGAACAACAGCTGTGAACCTCAAGAGAGAGCTGACTAAAATGCCAAACCACACTAAAGTCACTCAACGGATATTATTAAACTTCTACAGAGAACTGCTTCAAAAAAGAGAAGACATTATCTCAGATTTTGCAATCAATGGCAAACATTATATTCTTGCTGTTCATTAATTTGGCAGTCACCCACAGATTTTCATGGGCTTTTAAGCAACAAAACAACAATTACTGGGAGTCCAAAAAGACAAAAACCCTCCACAGAAGACTTACGGTATTTGTAAAACAAGACTAATAACATTGTTTCCTCAGAATGAAGAATCTACATTGAGCAATGTATAAAGCAAAAGGTAAAAACCAAGTCGAAACATTTCAAATATCAAATTAGAAAGCAAAATAAATAGATGGAAAAAAGATGTAATTAAGATGGAAACAAAAGACGGGAAAAGAAAAAGTAATATTATTTTAATTGTTGTATTTTCAACAATAATTAAAATCCGAAGAAATGAGACCTGATATTTGTAAAAATACACTTTCATCACCAAAGATGATTTTGGGGGAAGAATGCAGACTTGCCATAGATTTAAAATTTCATTTACACTTGAATGGATACTCCTTACAGGTGAAACAGCAACTTTCTTGTAATTCTTTCAGTTCAACAACTGCATTCTCTCCTCACAATGTAGTCTCCTCCACACTGGAAAGTCCAAATGCAGACTGAATAATCATTTTTCAGATAACTTTTGCTGCTGAATTTCTAGTAATCTGTCATTTTAATGTTCCTCCCATTACCACTCTTGTTTTACTGTCCTTGACCTCCCACACAATTCCAATAAAGCTGAATGCAAGCTCAAGGATCATCACTTCAGCTAATGAATTGGCACTTTACAGCTTTGCAGAATCAATTCAGAGCTCAACAATTTCATAAACCCTTCCCCATTACCTTGACTGCAGCTGAGTTTCTTCCTGTTTACACCACCTCTTGCACATATTTTGCTTATCTACGTGTCCTATTACCATCTCCTTTTGCCTTTCACTATCATCCCTTTTCTCATTTGATCACAGGCATTTTCCACCGTATCACAAACCTTTCCAGTTGTTCTATCCTCCATTTCCATCTTTCCCTGTCTTGCTTAAAACTTACATCTTTAAGCATTGCCACTCCTGGCTCACATCATTGACCTGGCACATTAATTCTGTCGCTCTCTCCAAATTCAGCAAGAGAGGCTGAGACATTCCTGATTTCTATTTTTCATAGGTTAATTTTCAAAGATCGAGAGGTAATCACTTTGAAACAGAAACTTCTTAACATTTAGAAAGGCTAGAACTAGGGAACCTAGTCTCAGGCAACATCCCCTCTTAGCAGTGCAGCTGGTTCATGCATGGCGATAGGTGTGCAATTGTCATTTGCAGCACTGATTTCTGGTTCTGGAAGTTATTGTCAGATATGGACCTCAAAAAGGTCCTGCCAGATGAAAACAAAATTAATATTAATGCCAGTCTCTGGGTATGGGGGTCAGCTATTTAGGACTGAGAATAGGAGAACTTTTTTCTCTCAAAACATTGGGACTTTTTCCAGAATTCTCCATCACAGTTTTGTGGATGCTCAGTTGAGGAGACTAAGGAAGTAATGGGATAAAAGGACTGGGTGGAATGGTGGAATTGTAACAATCATGAACTAACTGAATTGTACTTTGTGTTCCACTTCCTCTTATCTTCTTGCATATCAGTCAGCATGAAAAAGAAAGCCTATTCTGTGCAAAGGCAATGTAAGACACTTCTTGTGAACAGCACCAATGAATTTCCTACCACATCCATTTTCTAAGTTTGAATGCAATATCGATGGCATGAATCAAACCTGAATAAAAAATTGTTCCCTAATCTTTTATGTTGACAAATAATGAAGTCAGGACATAAATATGACACTGTATTATATATTTTTTAAGAAACATCTGCTCCAGACAGTGAAGAAATCCAGAAATGTGAAGTAAACGATATCTAGTATTGAAAGGGTCCGTTTAAAAAAAAAGGTAATTTCTAAACAGGTTTATTCCTCAGGAATAATGAGAATACTGACAAACCAGACATTTTCCTGCCGTCTGAAATAAATAGTTTGTTTATTTAAAACAAGTTAAGTGCTGAGATCCTTACAATGCTATCGTATATTTCCTAACACAGTTCCAGTTCCCAGTGAATAATTTGTGGACACAAAGAAATGCACATATGATTACCAGCATAATTAGCTGTAAAGGAACAAGATTAATTCAGAATGTAGTTGAAGAAGATCTAACCTCTCTTGCTACCTAACCCAGGGTCAGGCTTAAGCCACGGGTAGTTACGTCCGTTGGCAACCGACATCAGTTTGTGTATATGGATCATAGTATTACATTGCACAAATACTGTTTGCCTTTAGCCAAACCAATCTTTTGTTGTCGTTAGAAAGCGCCAATAAATGAATCACCAATAAACAAACTATCAATCTTTTGTTACTACACCCAGCTTGAATTTCTACTCAGCGGTATGATAGAATTTGCAGTTGATTTGCCCTTTAATCCATGAAAACGTTGACGACAGCAAGCTGGGGCAAAACTGTAAAATCAATACCTTTGAAACCTTTGCTTCTCTTTTCCATCAGGGCGAGCAGGAGTCTAGAAATTTGATGGCAGCACACTTATTTTTGTCGGGAATAAAATGCCCAATGTTATGGAAGCATGTGTACTGCTTGTCTAGAATAAGTAGCATTCCATCCTTCTCATTGGTTAAGTATTCTATTGATGTTCATGAACATGTACCTTCAAATAATGGTTCTATACCCGAAAGCAGCCATCTGAACTCCCCTGGTGAAGGTGAAAACTGCCACTGGAGAATCCGTCACGAAATGCATTACCGTTTTGTTCATGGAAGTAATACTTCGTCCACACTGAATAATCACCATTCTCTGCATGAAGCAGCAACACAAATTGACAATGGACTCTTTCAATAGCTCTAAGCTACTGCATGCCAGCTGATGGACAGGATGCCTGGTGTATCTAATATTTGCTGATGCACATCCTTTGGCTTCAGGCATGCAGCAACTGACTATCACAGCAAAGTGTAGTATTATAATGAGATCCCAACACTAACTGTAATACCTCAGCTTTTCTTGAATGTGATTGAATTTCTAGGGAATAGTCTCTAATGGCAACAGTCTTCACTTTGTAGTTAAGAGCTCATTTCACCCAATTATCTGATAATGACTCCAGATTATAAAGATTAACCGCCTTCAAATGCTTTATCCTTGGGAAGTGACAACAGGTAGCTAAGGAAAGAACAAAATCTATACACACTCAGTCACTGATGGCTGTACTCGTATGGCTTGTCACTTCATAAAAAATGCACAGTGACACTGGTCAAAAGGTAGAGACAGCATACAGAAGTGGAAGATCTGACAGCTAAGCATGAGAAAGCTCATGTTCTACCCAAACAAAAAGATAATCTTATCAGGCAAGTATGAATGAGGAAAGATATTCTACCTTTCTTAGCTCATACTTCGACAAAATCACCTTAAATGATCTTTAGCAATCAACTTCTTAAATAATTAAATAAATCTAGAGGATTTGCCACCAGTACTCTATCCAGACATTCGTTCCATACAGTATTGGTTTGCTTTCAGATCATTTTGTGAAGACCTTCCTAGTATTAATTCCAAATTTGTTAATCATGTAGTTTGATCTGGAAGTCAGTGCGTGATTCTGTTTAAGTTTTCTGGACCTTCTCGTATACCGCTATATTATCACATCTCAGAAACTACCTTTCAAGACAAAAAAGCCCTTTGCTCTCCAGTCTCTCCTCAACCCAAAATTCTAGCATCAGAACAACCCTGTGGCTATCTCTGCAAAGTGTCCAATGCTTGAGTGAAGAATGGAAAGGGTTTCGCTCAGCGGTAGCAACCCTCAATACCTACCTTGCCCCTATTATTGCCCCGCTCCCCCAATTCTAGCCCCCGTTTA